GTAACTAGTAACGAAAATTTTCGATAGGATCTACAACGATATTGAAATATTGTCATCATGTAATAAACATAACTGTGCAGGTCAGTCTTTTTTAACAGGTAATATAAAACTGATCTATCATAAAATTTCGGCTTTCGTTATTATTATATACTAGTTTTGAATTTTATATACCTTATTTCGTTTCGAATTCATCAATGTTTGATAATGTGTAACAATTTTTGTTATTGCTAAATTACTTGTTAGTTATCTTAATTCACGTACAAAAATCACACCTGGGTTTAGTTGAAATAAAACTTTGGAGATAGATGTAACAAACAAAACTTATATACAGATTCAAGTAAAGAAGATTGGATATAATGCATAGTTTGAAAGATGTGGGCAAATGTGAATTACAGGTGACAGTATATCTTGCATTTGTATGATTACATTAATTGTAGTTTATGTTAAGAATTATTTAGAAACAAGTCAACTTTCTTGGAAATGAGTAAAAGATAAATTATTCGTTATAGTTGTTTTTTGTCGTTTCTACTTGCTCCGGCAGATGTTACTTACAACTAATTGAGATAAATTGTAACACAACATTTTATCTAGAATTTGATTAATTGTAAAATAATGAACAACATTCGTGGGATTATTAACTTCCCGTAGGGCAAGTTATAGTAATCGCAAAAAAATCGAAAATGAAAATTTTTATATATCTTTACGTTTCAGAGGTTTCTGAACATTTTGGCATACCTTAGAAAAAATGGATGTATGTGTGTGTGTGTGTGTGTGTATGTGTGTGTGTATGTGTGTGTGTATGTATGTATGTGTGTGTATGTATGTGCGGATACAAATTTTCGTCGACGATTTCGGGAACACGGATCAACCGATTTGAATAATTCAAAAAACATTCGATCCGTATTGATAAGGAGACGTGCTGATTAGTTTTTGGCAAAGGCAGGTCAGACCGTTCCGAAGATACGGGGCAAAAAGTTCCGAAAACGGTAACTCAGTTTTTAAGAGAACGGAGCGTCCGATTTTAATAATTCAAAAAATATTTTATTTGTATTGACAAGATGAAGAATCGATACAACTTTCATGAAGGTAGGTCCAGCGGTTTCGGAGATATAGAGGAAAAAGTAAAAAAATGAGCCATTTGGCGGTCAAAAATGATCATTAGACATATGCACATCAAATTATCAGACATTTTATAGAGATTTTAACAATAAGTATACATTTTGTTAACATTCCTATCGGTTCCGTACCAATGCTTATGCGTTAGACAGCGACGCGGCGCTTACGCGCTTTATATTTTGTCCCTATGTAGTTAAAGCAGTACGATTGCTTTGAAAAAAAAGTTCAGATCTTCCACAATATGTCAAAATAAAGAAAAAAAAATTTTTTTTCAAAAAAAACAAATTTTTTTTAAAAAAAATTTTTTTTTAATTTTTTTTTTTTCAAAAAAAAATAATTTTTTGTACAATTTATAGTTTCTCAAAAATCTTATTTTTTCAAAGTAATTTTTTTTCAAAAATGTTAATCGTTTTAAAAAAAAATAATAATTTTTGGTACGGGAAGTTCCAGCAATTTGCCTTAAGGCACGATGCCCTAATTGCCTTAAGACAGAATTCCACTTACAGCTAGTTTATATTTGATTCGGGAGAGTAATAGTTACAGCAACTTAACATCTTTATTTCGTAGAAATATAATCAGTGGATCTTAAAATATATTAATTTAAAAACAAACTGTCACAACCAACCCCTAGCTCCACTTTAGGTATAGATTATATAAAATTACATGTTTTTAATTTTACTTCATAAATATGCTTATTATTAAATTCATTATTATGTGTAGCAATGAATGACCCAAAAAATAACATTTGTAAAATAATCTGAATTTTCATATATTTGAACAATATAATACAAACAATATTAGATCCCCTATTACAAAACCTCTCGAAAAGCGACCACGTGTTTTCGGTATCAGCGAAATGTCACAAATCTTCCTTACCGAAAACGCTAAACGCTTCCTTAAAGGAATAATTTGACACTTGTTAAACCTTATTTACAGAACGGCGTCCCTTTCGCCCCAAAATTTCTTATCTTTTTCTTTCTCGCAGGGAAATAAGAAGGGGTGCAAGTATTATTACTGACACTTGTTACATGCCCCAAGACGTTCGTGAGTAAACATTCCACCCTCCAACGTGCCATCTTTTTCTCGGAAGGACTTCGACTCTTTCGCGCTTCTGTGGGACCGTAAGAATGTAAGAAAGTAAGAAAGCGAATCCCCAAATTGTTTGCATAAGAAGAGGGAAGAATGTTTGCGATAAGTGGTGCCGTTTTGACACTTGTTGCTTCGGAAAAATGTCTTCGGCGAAAACGGGAGATTTCGATGCTTGCTACTTATCTCGACGAAATAATTTACTTGTTGGTTATAATGATTAGCTGATAATAACAAGTCGGGATTTGAAAATATACGTTATTTTATGGTATGAATTTACATAATCAGTTTGGAATTAATTATTAGGATCAGTTAATTTTAACTAATATTTGAAATTTGTTATCAGCCATAAATGGTATGTTGATTAAAGCGAAACTTTCTACTGGTGGTAATTTAATAGTGTTAATCAAAAACAATTTTGTGTTAATTGAAAATACTTGAATCAAAATATTTATCATATATACTAATATGAGGATATTATTATCATAAATGTTAATAGGAGAACCAAAAGGATTGGTAAGAAGAAAAATTCAGACGATTGATGACTTACGCAAAAAAAGAAAATGCAGGGAACTGAATGCCAAAGCACAAAACCAGAAAGCATGAAAGCAGAAGTTTGGGAAGGAACATGCTTAAAATTGTACAAAAAAGTGATTTATAGTAATGGAAATAATAAAAATGAAGAAAAAGAAAATCATTGATGTGTGGTGCTCTTACATTATGGGCCTGCCATCGGACAGATTACCATTTATTATTATTATACTAATATGAAATAATGTACATTAGCAAAGATGGAAACTAACCATTTATTATCATTTTATATTAATTCAATGCTTTAATTTTTCGACAAAAAAACTTATTTAAATGAGTTAAAGATGATATATTTTTATTCACGAATACATAAAGTTTGATTTTATCATTTAAATTTAATTTAAAAATTATCATTTCTAAATTATTAAGTTAATATTTTATAATATATTATTAAGCAGTATAAATAAAGAATATTAAATGATACATAAATGATATTAACATAATCGTATTGAAATAAAAAAACGATTTTTGCTAAAGTTCATTTGATAGAGAAAAAATTAAGCTAGGCTCAAACCCTTTTTTTTATTAGATATACCTCAAGAGAATAAGATTAAACTTTTTGAAAATTCTCATATTTTTATATTTAATTTTTAGATGCCAAATAAACACTCATTAGACAATAAATGATGTGTAAGAAAATAAAATTTAAGTTTTATTATCTTAGAAAACTTATTTTTTAAGGGGGGCGATACATGTAATCGCCTTAATTTTTACCATTTTTTGAGGACTTTTTAAACTAGAAAGGAATGACTGAATCTTTTTGAACTTTTTTAGGGTTATTTATTATATATTAAAATACACAAAAAAAAAATTTTTTTAATTTTTTTTTTTTTAAATGGCTGCCGTAAAAATAAATCTGCCAAGACCCTCTCGGAAAACGCCATCAATTTGCGGGCGTTCTCACTTTTCGTGCGGTGATTTGAAATCAAAAAAATTAGTTTGTACGTGTTCATAAAACATATATCTTCTAGTTAAACCAAAAAAAATTTAAAAAAGTCACAAAATCGCAAATTGGCACACCTCAGAAAAAAAAGTTCGATTTTTCACCTTTTTTTCAATGGTTTTTTTTGGTAAAAGGGTTAATTTTTGAAATTTTTTTTGGAATGTTTGAGGTTTAACTAGAAGCTATTACTGTAAAGTAGATGTGTGCAAAATTTCATTGGAATCGGTTGAGAACTTTTTGAGTTATCCCGCCCGCAAATTTCAAAAATGTCGTTTTGAGAAAAACGCGTTTAAAGTTTTGACACATAGAACAGATAAGAGTTGAGGCGTGGCACTTAAATGAGTTTTTATTGTATAAATAATGATAATTTTGTTTTGAATATTTACAGGCATATTTTTGAGATATGATTGTAACGATTTATGAAAAAAAAAAATTCGATTTTTTTTTTCGTGTTACATGTATCGCCCCCCTTTGAGAAGAGAAGACATTTGGAAGAAATCTATTGTAATGTTAATGTTTAAATTAAATCTAGATCAACATTTGGAATTATAACCATGAAAAATTTGATAATATAATAATACATCAATTCCTTACATTTAAGCAACGGAAATATCTCATGTGAATGTGTTTCGTAAAAAAATCATTCGACAAGTACCAGGAAAGTTAAATAAAACATGTATTTTATCGATTATTATCCTAAATAGTAATTATAATGAAAAAATATAAAATATAACTGAGGTGTTTTATATATTTTATTTGTTAAAAAGCCTTGATATGTATACGAGACCGTACAAAGTAATATGTGTTACTTTTTATATAATTTATCTTTTAGAACTATAAAAGTTTCGTTTAGAATCTAAATGATACATTTTAGATGTTATAATAATTTATGCATTTTATCGAAGAAAATAGGTTGAATGATGAAACTAAAATCTATATAAATTATTATATTTCAATCATCGAATTCTTATCTTAAGGTTACTATCGCGGAAACTACAATACGGACAATTGGAAAAATCATGCAGATTTTTCAGATGCAGATATCTTGAAAAGTCCTGAATAGAAGATAATAGTCTAATAGTCTAGAAAAGCCAAAACTCTAGAGAATTCTCTAAACTTGGTAAAAACTGGTAAAATTGAGTATGAGTTGACTTTATACATTTTAGATTACTTGTATCACGAAGTGCCTTAATAAAAGATCAATATTAAGAAAAAAACGCACAATCCAGAAATTTACAGAATAACAATTATTCCTTGTACATACCTCGTCCGCTTCTTCCGACAAATCGTAAGTCGTTGAATTTAGCAACCTGATTCTTCATAACCGCGGTGCAATTTCTTAACTCCGCGCAGAAATTTTCATCGTTTCCGGCACGAAGGGTAACTAAGGTTCCGTCAGTGACGTCGCCAAGGGACACCACACGGAACGAGGCGGGCAACGTCTTGTTCGAACGCCAATGTGCAGGTAACACTGTGCATACCTGAAAATAAAGTTAAAGAAAAATAATATATTATAAAAAATGTAAAAGATACAAAAATTACTAAAAGATTTAATACGTTATGTTAAAAAATTTATTGGCATCTGAATCTAATAGTAGCTCACAAGCTTGATCTAACCATCAGAAGTTATAAGAATAAACTATCGACAGATATATTTCAATATGCATTTATATTATAAAACCATTTAAATGTGAATGAATAAATAAAAATCCAATAAACAATTTCTCATACTTATAATTAGGTAGAATAACTATTTCGACTTTACTTATTGATTTGTATTTATATTTTATTATTTATATATTTATATTTTTATTAGTATCTCAAGATAAAAGTTTATATTTCTGACGTTCAAAAGTATGAATATGAGTATGTGCTTTTATTTTATTTTTTATTATTTTTCCTATTTTATTTTCAATAGCAATCAAAATACAGTACAATTCTATGAGCTATTTGGCTTATATCATTCTTATATCTTTCAAACACACATATAAATTATTGTGATAAATGTTATATCCATAGTTAGATAATCACTCCAATAAGTGATTCAACAATTTTGTTCATATATACAAGGTGAAGCTAAGGGTTTTCAATATTATCTTTGAGAAGCTTCTTAAGAATGTGAATGCAAATTTTGACTTAGTCGACATTTTTTTTGTAAAATGCTTGCACCAAATTTATTCAAACTTTTGATACGTTCAAAAATCGTTGGAAAAAATAAGAGAAACGACAACGTTTTCGCAAAAATCGTGATGCGTCAGTTATTTAATTGTAACACTCACTGTTTTTTATAAAAAATATCTTATTGTTAGTGTTTTTCCCATAATTAGCAGTGTAACATGATTCATTTATGTGTTTTGAGCAGTACAAGATACAAGATCAGTTGGGAATCATAAATTAAGTAATTAATTTCTGACAAAAGTCAGTTATGTTTTATCGGAATTTTAAAAATTCACAAATATCATTAAATAAATTTGAATCAACCAAATTGTTTCAGGATTTCGGGAAATTGCAACTTTTCTACAACTGACACATTGTTTTTATAGAGTTGTTTCAAATATTTTGTTAACAATGAAAATATTATAACACCAAAGCGCAATATATTTGCTATAACCAATTCTGTTTATTACATTTGGATATATGTGACTATGTTCTATTCAGTACTTTGATTAAATGTTATTAATTGCAAAATATTATATCGTTTTAAGTCAGACACAGTACTGACTTGATGTGATCTTAAATTAACGTAGAAAAGTTTACTTATTTATAACAGCTAATTGAACATCCGTATCAAAAGAATATCAATTGAAGTTTATTATTATCTATCATAATTATAATAATCTCGATATAAGTTGAGCTGTTTTAAGTAATTTTAATTACATTAGTATCATTTTAATAATTATATTCAACACTAAAAATTCAATTTTAATAAAGTTATATAATTTACGTAAATTAATTTGACAAATTATTTTGCTAATATTCTAATAATTTTTTTCGTCGTTAGAATGGTAACTTTGAACACTTCACTATTTTTTAATTAATATTTATATTCTAGCATTTCATTATAAATATAATTTCATATTTTTAATTTATTATAAAATATATCATGTCATTTGTTATCTTAAAAAATGATAACTCTGATAAAATGCTATATCTGTAATTATTTATGAACAAAAAACAAATTATTTTTTTTTGTAATTAATCTATAATAAATGCATTTTTTCAAAGAACATAGTTGCTTAGAATTTCTTGCAATTTCGTAAGATATAAATTAATTAAGAAATAACTTTCTTTAAAATGAAAAAATATATTGAAAACTAATTATAATTATTATAATATCAAATTATAAATTAATATCTAAATGATTAAACTTTTAGAATAATTTGAAAACTAAAAACACGTGTAGTGTAAATAGAAATTATAAAAAATTAAGATTATTGATATTGTAATGAGTTAATTTATTATAAATTTGAATATTTTGAAATATCGATAAAAATAATTAATAAGGTACCAGTGTAAAATTTTTTGCCCATAAAATTAAAGTTTTAATTTTTGTATTAATTTCAGATAAAATTGAAAGAGAAAAATATGATTTTGTAGTCAGAACTCACAAATTGTGGACTGCCAGTCTTTACTAGCTCCCCTGGATGTTCGCTTAAGAAATCTCCAAGAGCCCTTTCTGCAAGAATGTCAGCTGTCATTTTACCGTAAGCTTCTGTCAAGGCGTTGGAACTTGCAGAATTGGGGGCAGTACCACCGCCTGTGGCGGTAGGGTCTGTCACTTCTCTAATATTTGTGGTGTCGCTCAACACGTTGCTGTTGATGCCTCTTCCCAAATTTGTAGAATTCTGATTTACTGATCTATTGGAAATTGATCTCTGACTTCCAGGGACAACAATTGGATGGTGATTGGTGACACCACTTCTAACTTGTTGATTTTGGTTCAAAAGACTACCGGTCTCTAGTAAATGTCTTCCAGACGTAGGACTTATGGATAGATTCGTGGCGTCGTTTGCTGAAGATGGTGTGGTAGTAGATGATATTATGCCAGAGTTGTTGGTACTTGATGATGTTAAATGCATTTTATGGATTGGATTAATTTAAACTAATTTTTGTATGAGTACTATATGAATCGACATATCATTTTAGTGTATATCTTTTGGCAATAAATATTGGTTTTTATGAAAAATGACGATAGATTATTTTAATTTGTTTCCAATCACACCATTTGTTTATATTGTTTGCTATTCTTAATTTATAGTTTATATTTACAAGTACTATTTTAATCACTTTTCTTGAATTTGAAATGTCAATAAATAATTATAATTAGTAAAATATCATAACGAAAAGGTTAAACAACCAACAGATTTTAATTGATATTTATATAGAAACAATAACTAATTATATTCTTTACAAGTAAATTCTTTTCTAAGTTTAATAATTTTAATTGATGATCAACAGTTCAAATGTGAATATTTCTATACAATTTAGTAATACGGATTATTTCTTGAAGGTTAAGTTTTTCTAGTACAATTTAAACTCTGCTTTTTCAAAAACTCTATTCTTTTTAATACTTTGTCGAAAACATCTATTGCCATTGCTTAGAAACAATGATTTTTTATTTTTCTAAATATCAGTCAGTATTTCAAATACAATACTTTAGCATTTGATTTCAATTGAAATCCTCGTTAACCAATGTGTTCGCAAATATCATGCCGACTAAATTCACGTGACGATTTCTCTCGTTGTAACTTTCATGTGGGTTATTCTTCATTCACGATTTTTCACATTTTTTCACATACACATGAGCACATTCCGTTTTTATGCACGTTTACTTTTACATATGAACTTTCACACACGTAAGTACCATATATTTTTCACCGGCCTATCGATGCGTCAGTCAAACAACATGCGCGTTGTTGTTGTTTTTTTGCACCACCACACAAATAAAAATAAAAATGAACGAAAAAAAATTCTTTACACGTATACGCACGCACTTGTATATTCAAACACTTTCCGTACCATATGAGCACACAGGCACAATTTCCATGCGTGTGTGGAAAAATCGCGCATATTCAGCGAGGTTTTGTTTTTTAAAAAAATACCGCGTCACTCCGCGATGTCGTTCGGCCACGTTTTTCCGCGGATCCACGTTTCTGTTTTTCGCGCCGTCACGATTAGTTCGATTTTAAACTTAGTCCTAAATTAACACGTTTGGCTTACGGACGTTTGTTCGTCTATTTGTTGCTTACGAGGACGAATAAAAAACTGAATGTTTTTTTCTAACACTTTCGTGTAGGTTTTCGCTTAAGCCTGGCATTGGCGGAGAAAACGCGTACTTCTCTGCACCTCACGGTATAGCGGTATTAGAGCACTCTGGCATACAAACGACGTGTGTACTCTCAAATGGTTGCTCCAAAACCGCTAAAACATACATACACAGACTCATAACATATACTTCGTGCGCACATGTAACCAAATGCACGTACACCCTCGCACGCGCACACTAGCGCAAGCGGGTTCGTCTCCCCCCGCCTGCACATGTCTTTATATAATCAAAAGTAACACCAACACATGGTAACCCTTTAAAACCGCATCATACATACGCACGGGCACCAATACTCGAACAAAAGCGCATGGAAATGATTATTATTTACATACACGTTCAAAATATGCGAAGTTCTACACACGCGAAAAACTTTCAGTGTGTATAACATACACCGTAAAATGTGGATATGCACAATTATAATACATTTAGAGTTTACCGTAGAATTGCACACAGGCAAATCCCATAGCCACGCTCACTTAAGCAAAATCTACGTTATGTGCAATTTTATCGCTATATTTACTATATTTACCGTAACACGATTTTACTATACAACGGACCAAAGCACATATGCACAGATACACAGACTCGCTTAACCCTTACCACGCTCGAACTCATTACATGAAAATATAATACAGTGTGTTAAACAGAGAAGGATATAATGTAGTGAATTTCCTAAAAACCGCAACTCTGTAACGCTACCTCTTTCCCACTCATTATAGCTGCTAATTTTCAATGGTTTTGTCTTTGTCTCGTTCATTACGTCCGCACAGTTGTGTATTGCACTCATTAGACCGCCACGGAGATAGCATCTCTTTCTCTGGCACTGTACATGCTGTCTTTGTCATTATCATTAGCAGACTCGCGCGCACGTGGCGAACAGGACAACAGGATTTTAGGGATCCCAACAGACATAAGCGAGAAAACATCGAAAACAATACAAGTTAGAGCAAGACCGTGTTGACTTTGGTGTCTTTCGGTAATTGCTAAAACAAGACAACATCATCATTGAGGTAGTCTGATAAAGACAGAAGCGATGCACGAAAAGAGCAAATACGAACCTACAACTTATAACAAGCACGACAAAGACAGCCGGGTGGTAGGAGCGAGCATAGGTATCTTACATCACGTCGCGACGTCTGCGAAAGAGAAGACTCA